TATATATATATATATATATATATATATATATATATGTGTGTTGTGTGTGTGTGTGTGTGTGTGTATTGCCACCCTAGAAAAATGTTTGCCCCTCTTCTGCCACCCCATCAATAATTTTGTAGATCCGCCCCTGATTGCTAACATTGAATTGGAAGCAAAAATATCTCAAGCTACTTATTCCAATCACAGGATGTCATTGTTACTTCATTTGTGCATAATGCACCTTTAACCCTTTATAGGGCACTCATTGAAGTATTTTATATGTTTTTTTATTTCAACCGCAGGTTGTTATTGTAGTCCATAACCAAAGTGTGTTTCTGTTGTTACAATTTTCAAAAATATTTATTTTCACACAGAAAGTCAAAGAAAATGAAGTGATCAAATACGGACGTTGGCCCTGTAATGGTAAAAGAAATCCCAAAATAAAACACATGAACAAGTTATACATTATTTTTGAACATTATAGACACGTTAGAATAATCTAGCTAATTTTAGAACACTATATCACTGTCAAATTCAGATTAATATAATATTTGATATTTGAGGATCTGCCTCAGTGTCATCTTCCTCCTGTTAATCAGCTTCACTGATGGTGAGATTGGTCTGCGCAATACCAGTTGTCCTCCATTTCCCAGAGAAATCTTAGTTTAAAACTGCAAAATATATTCAATATCATAAATGTAATTTTTACTGTTACCTATGAATATTAAAACTGTGTCTAAAAAAACAACAGATTTTACCTAAAATATCCTTTTTTTCCCTTGTTCATGGGCATATGTTCAAATGTGGCAGATTGATTTTCAAACTAAGATTTCACCAACTTCATTGAGTTTAACATTTACAACTCATATATCCTTATTTACCACAACTAGTCAACCTGGTGATGTGAGAACTTCATAAACCTAGCATTGTTAGTTTTAGAGATCTGACCGTTAACGGGGGGGGGGGGGGGGGGGGGGGGGGGGGGGGCAGAGGACATTTCTGGCGCTGCAAACACATCAATGTTTGGCGCCTCATAGCCCCCACACTGATTGGTGGAATGGTGCCATGGCGCAAACCATATCTAGCTTGATCTTTTATGAATGTTTGGGTGAATATCCTATAATTCTAAGAGTTTGTGAAGATATCATTTACAAGGTGAGTGGAAGTGTCTAAATATAGGCAATGGCCCTTAAAAGGTTAAGATAAAGATTCAATACTTACATAAAAATTTCCCCATTTCTCCCAATTGTATTTTGGAAAATCTGAATCTTAAGGCCAGTAACATAAACTACAGTGAGATGGAAAATTTAATTATTGCAACCCAACTGCACTGTGTTTGCATCCTCATCTTCTGCGAACACAGGAAAAAGTTAATGACTAAGGGTCTATTCACTGCGGAGTCCAGAAAGGGTCAAGTCTAGAAATACATTTAGAGGTCAGGGAAATCTGTTCCTTGAGTTTAGATCACATGCACACATCTGCAGTTAGATTGGTGTCTGTGATCAGCCAGTTGTGTGTAAATCTCCACATGGAAATAGAAATAAACATAAAAACCAGATGTAAACTAAGGGTTAGGGGGTGTTGATACATTCCTGTTATATTCAGGGTCAAATGTGTGTTTTTTTCACCTCAGTCTCGAGAATGTTGTGGAAGAATTTAATGTTAAAAGGTATATTTTTACAATTGTTCAATAATTGTTTTCCTTTGATGACTTTGTAGATACTTCCCGAGGTCTTGCCTCACTCCCAGTTCCACATTTTGGGTTTTTTCATAAAAAGTTTTTCCATTGCAAGAGGGTCTGTGACCCCAAAGGGGTCCCCACAGTTTCGTCTGTGAGGTAACCAAGATTATATTTGTAAAATTACATTAATACATGCCAATAACACACCCACATGTGTAAGATATTTAACCCTATGTCTGTATAAAGTTAATAACAAATCACCTTTTGTGTGTGCATGTTGGTAGGAGTTGGTGTTGGGGGTCCTGGCTTGTCTTGGAAACAGGAATAGAGGTTCTCAGGGAACAGGAGTAGGAACCACAGCTCTAACAGAATGATTTGTGCCAGCACTCAGAAAGTCAGACCTCAGATTTTATCCAGGATTTTGTTCAAGGATTAGAAGAAGAAAAAGAAGAAAACATCATTTCTATAGCGCCTCTCAAGATAAAAATCATGAGGCGCTTAACAGAAACAAAAATTTCAAATATAAAAAGAAATTTGAAAATGATTAAAATATGTTTAAAATTAGCAAAAATAGACAATTGCGATTACAAATGTAAAGAAAGAGAGAGAGTGAATAGGAAAGAGGGAAATCAGTGGATCCCGAGGAAGGTGGAATAGGTGGGGAGAGCAGAATAAGGAGAGGGTGATGAAGGTCACACCAAAAGCCAACTTGAACAAGTGAGTTTTCAGCTGCTTTTTAAAGGAGACCACTGAGTCCACTAATCTCAGGCTCAGGGGGAGAGAGGTCCAGAGTCTGGAGGCCACAGCAGCAAATGATCCATCACCTTTGGTCTTTAGCCTGGTGCGCTGCACAACCAGTAGGCTTTGATCACTGGACCTCAGGGACCTGCTGGGGTTGCAGGGACTGAGAAGATCACCAATGTAAGATAGTGCTTGTCCATGTAAGGCCCTATAGACCAGAACCAGGATCTTGAAATGAACCCTGAAGTTGACTGGCAGCCAATGAAGCTGGAGGAGAAGCGGAGTGATGTGGGTGTGTTTGGAGGACTTGGTCAGAAGCCGAGCACAGGCATTCTGTCCACCTGTAGACGGTTCAGGGAGGTTCTGCTCAGACACGTGAAAAGAGAGTTACAGTAGTCTAAGCATGAGGAGATGAAGGTGTGGATAACTGTCTCAAGTTCAGAGCGGGACAGAATGGGACTCAGCTTAGCAATGTTCCTGAGATGGAAGACGGAAGAGCGAACAAGAGAACTGACATGAGAATCCAAGGTGAGAGCTGGGTCAAAGGTCACACCAAGATTCCTGACAGAAGGTTTGGTGTGAGAAGCAAGCTGACCAAGAGAGTCTCTGACTTTGGGAACCAGCTTGTCTGGGGCACAGATGAGGATCTCAGTCTTATCTTCATTCAGCTGTAGAAAGCTCCCAGCCATCCAGATTTTGATAGAGTCTAAGCAGGTGTGTAACAGCTGCAGCTTAGACATCTCATGGGGCTTAAAGGAGATGTACAGTTGGATGTCATCTGCGTAAAGGTTGTGTTTGTTTGTAGCAGCTATTGAAAGTAGTTAATCAAGTAATTTCTAATCTAACTTGGTTACGTTTGACATACAGTAATCAATGAAGTAACTTAGTTACTTTTGAATGGAGCAATCAGTAGTCAGTAATCAAACTACTATTTCAAGTTAACAATGGCAACACTGCCCCCAACAAAAATGCTCCATAAAATATAATAATTTACCATCCCTAGTACTCTGAAATCGGCTATTTTATTTGTAAAAGCTACAATAACGTCACATGACCAAATGTCACTACTGTAGTCCTTGTGTTTCGATGTAAAATTTAACCAAATATAACACTTCTTGTTTCATACATTTCTTCAATGTTTGCTGATTGCTGTGATTTATGTTTTCGTCAGTGTTTAGCTGGGTGACAAAATGAAGTTTTTAACTCGATCATCAAACACCTACACGCAGACACACAAGAACTCGGCTGATGGGGTGGCATGAGCCTGTAATAAGATCAATAAGGCATCGCTCGGTGGTGTGTTCTGGTTTCTGGGAGCATTGATGAGGCCCCTGATGTGCTGACTGGGAACAATTAGTATCAGTAAGAAGCACTAACAGGGCTTTGAGTGATGACGGTTGTGACTGGATGTCTGAATTCATGTGTGCAAGTGTGGGTGGGTGAGTCATCATCATCCAGACACAGGAGTCCCATCCCTCTGCTCTCGCTCACACACTCAGCCATGTACTCTTCTATAAACACACACACACACACACACACACACACACACACACACACACACACACACACACACACACACACACACACACACACACACACACACACAAACCTGGCAGATACAGAAAGATTAGCCAAATCCATCTGGCAGGTTCACTCTGCTGAGCAAGTAAATGGTCATCCTTGGTCCAAATGAACTTGCCTGTGCAGAAAACCAGCTCTCATTTGTGCAGTAAAATAAAAAATCAACAAAAACATGGCATAGCAGAACAAAACAAACACGACCTGATGATAATTATTGGAACAAAATCCTTGAAAACTGAGTCACAGAAAACAGGTCAGCTGTGAGACTAAAGAATGTTCCGTTGTTAGTAGGTTTGAATGTGAAAAATGTGCTAAATGTTATGCAGCTCCACTACATCTTACATTTGTTGAAAATGTAATTGCACAAGAAGCCTGTTTTTGTAGCTTCTAGTAACATCTGCAGCAGAATCTTAAGTCTGACCTGTGGTTGAACTTCATGGGGTGTCAGCTACTGGAAAGATTAATGATAAATAAATAGACCATGTTTATTTTTTGTGCCTTTTTAACCTCGTCTAGATTTCTCTTTACAAAGAGTTTCTATTTCACCAGCTCATGCAGTCATACTCTTTTGTTTGATATATGTGTACACTGTATGCAAATCTTTGCATTCATGTGCTGATTATTTACACTGTAAAAAGTAGCTGTGATTTATTTGCAAATATGTAATGTCAGCTGGATGCCAGTATCTTTTATAGTAAAGTTACAATACTTTGTCTCATATTCAGTGACTTACTTAAGTAAATTAAGTCTTATTATAGTAGTTTTACTAAATTTTAAAAAGTATAGTGACTCATTTTTACAGCTGAATGAGTCTAAGTTTTCAACATATAGCAGGGTCCTCAACTAAATTTGTTCAAGGGTCGAAGTTTTCTTTTCCAGCAGACAACGTGAGGGCCAAATGCTCTTCTAAAAAAAGTTTAATTAGTATTGTATCTTAAGTTATTAATATTTAAAACAGCTTTGTTTTCCCTCTAAACCGTTTTGATTGTGGTTTTAGTTGTGGCTGGAGAACGTAAACATTTATTGAACATGAATTTTGCTGCTGAACTTCAAAGTCCCCCAATCGGGGGGCGTTGGGCCCAAAGGGGCCAGGTGGAAAGGTCTGGCAGGTTGGATGTGGCCCAAGGGCCACCAGTTAAAGTTCACTGACATAGAGTATGACTGTATTTATTGCATAACATTATTTTTTATTGTGCTTTTTTTTACTGTATTTATTTTTTTATTTTCTTCTAAAGGTTTTAGAATTTTCAGTAAATATAATATTATTTAAAATATAATAATATAATGTAATAATAGAAACTGTTAAGTATTAGTAAACAACAAAATAAATTGTACTAACATTGACATGAAGCTATGTCTTGGACAAAGCCACATATTTTGACATCGGAGTGCCACATGGCTGGGAACTAAGCCCCTGCATTTCTAACTGAATGGCATCTTTCTACACTTTTTACTTCTGCATTAACATTACTGAGAAGCTCTTTTCAACTCACAAACTTTCTTTTTAAATGAAAAAAAAAAACTGAGACAGAAAATGTAAACGTAAAATCATTTTGACACAAACTAGAGGCTTTTTTAGCTTAGAAAAAATGTACAATTTTTTAATACATCTCTACAACAAAAATATAACTTATTACTTGTCATTGCATTATGAACTGTATGGACATAATATAGATGTATTGGACATAATATGCTGCATCATTCTTCTAGATATTAGATCACTAATAGGCAATTTTCCTTTTATTACAATGAACATGAAATAAACTCAATACTTTTACCATTTTTTTCTCATATTTAAAACTCAGTCAGCATCGTAGATAAAAAACCTTGTTTTAATTGACAACGTGTGTGTGAGCAGGATTAATCTCTTTGTGTGTTGTGTTTTCTACCTCAGCTGTGGTCTAGTTAGAACAGTTGCTAACTGGCTGGGGTTCTGGTTGGTCTCGCTGTGTCCTTTTTTTTCCAGTACTAGCGTGGTTGAGTCGTGACACGGAGCATGTGTGCCTCTCTGTTCACCCGTATGTGCCCGAGATTCTGCAGGAGCTATGAAAGCTCGTGTAAAGATGGACAAAAACAGTTATTTATGAAAGTCTACTTGTCTGAAACAGAACAGCACCAAATCAACATGAAGTAATGTAGCTGATTGGGGAAAATTGTGGAGTGTCATGTATAAAATTATTTTTTTCTGTTTTTATTTTCTTTCTGTTTAATGATGCCAAAGTAAAACATGTGTAACAGGATTGTGCTAAGGTCTTGAGTCACCCTTCATGACTGGACACTTTCTTCCAAGCAATCAGAAGTTCTTGTCATCTTTTAAAATTGTCTTCAGGGTTTTTCCTGCGTTCAAATTTGCGTGGCGGCCGCCTCCAGCTATTTTTGTGCCGCCCCAGTCTGACTTCACTCCGCCCCCAGCTAAATGGATGTTATTTTAACTGCAGTTGTAGCATTGCGCCACAATGGGGGCGCTGTATCAGCAGCAGTGCACCAAGAAGTGCTAAAACCACTGCAGAAAAAGAAGATCAAAAACTGATTTTCTCGCTAGTTGGTGCATATCTATGGTTGGTGCTATTGTAGTGTCCACTTTTCACTCTGTCCGGGGGGGAAGGGGTTTCCTACATTGATCAAAATGTCCGGTTTTTCATCCAGGAGCAGGGATCGAATAATGGGGGCTAGATATTTTTCAGGGAAAGATCCAGTTTCTGCCAGTATTACAATATTTATGGACTCTCAGCGTAGCGGGATTCTGTTGAGAGTGGCTGACGCAGAGTGCTGATCGTTGGTGCGCCCCCTGCATCCGGCGCACGATACATTCTCAAGGTGGCGCAGCAAAACATTATTATTAACACATGACCGTTCATATCTGTTTATATCCTCTGGTATTCTGTCTTTTAATCGTTCCTGACGCGCTCTGCTCATCGTGTGCTGCGGTGATTTCACCTCACTGACGCAGCATCGAAACGCACACTCTGCTTTGTGGTCAGGAGAACCCTTTGATCTGCTCAAAAGTAACTGATGAGGTGAAAAGGTAAGAATCTAGGCAGCAGTTTTTCTGGAGAGTTTAGAGGAGATGCAGGAAGATGAGAGACAGACAGGACAGGAAAATGGTTAAATAAAAACAAGAAAACAAAGCTTGAAAGTAAAATGTAGGTAGATTTATGTCCACTACATGTTTTTACCTGTATAAAACAATAAGTTATATTATATACATGTAATATTTATACATCTGATACAATTCAGATCACCTTCAAAACTCAGTCACACACCCAGAGCCGTTTCAAGGCATTTTGGGGGCCAAGGCAAAACAGAACACCCCCCTAACCCGTACATAATAGACATGCAATCATTACATTGTTAACAGCAGAAATTAAATGTTATTACCATTTCCAATACAAATGCATGTTAATGAAATGCATTATATTTTACTGGATATATTTCTGTGTTATTTTGACTAAGATGAGTGTTATTAATACAAACCTAAAATGTTACTGAAATGTAGGTCAAATATTTAAAAATATTTTTAACTATAAATATCAGAAAAAGGGAACTTAATACTAATCTAATGTATATTATTGAGCCTTTGATGATATTTAGCCTTTAAAAAAGGGAGGCAGTTGAATGCACAGAGTGTGCATGTGCTTGCGCATGGTCAGGATGCTACCGCCTCCGCCTCAATTTGAGCCAGGAAAAATCCTGGTCTTGATCAACAGTTTTTCGGATTTTTTAAAGTTTTTCTTTAAACAGATTTTTTTTTACTCGTCTTCATTCCTTACACTTGATGGATATAAGTCTGTTGGCTTTTTCCTGTCAACAAGAGGAGCTCCCCCTGCAGATTGAAGTGTGTTGATGCATGTGTTCATCCTGTCACGAGACACAGGAGGTTATGACTTTTTTGTAATCTCAAGTGAGATCCTGTTAGCGGCATTATAGTTACATCTAAAGGGAAATTTACGCAGTGATTCAAAATGCTTTGTTATTGCATTTTTAAATGAGAAGATTTGATCATCGTACATAAAAGCAGGGTTGCATTTGATTCAGCTGTGTTGCTTTTATAGCACACAGGCTTGCTTCAGTCCCTGGGCGCTCACATTAAACACAGATCCACTGAATTAGACAGATTATTTTATCTGCCATTCAAGATGCAAAGTCATCTCCAGTGGACGATGGTAACACTGTCAGGTCGTTCTCTTTTTGATGGCATCAGCCTACGAACAAGACTCAGACACACTCACGAATACACACACACATTAGGCCCGCTGTTCCACGATTAATGTAAATACGTTTTCTTTTAGAATATGTCTTCAATTATCAAATCTAATAAATAATGGCTGTTATACAGTTGTCCAGTCCTTACAACCATTTTAAGACTTTTGGGGTATTTTCCAATTCTTAGAACTACATTCATAGTAGGCACTGTTTTGGCTAATAGGAACTCTTGAGTGACGTAATGTTGTAATTTGTCTGTACACAAGTGAACATTGGCTTGTCCAGTACTAATAAAACTCCATTTGCATGATTAATTAAAGTAGAAGCCCTGTAACTGTTGCTGCTGTGACGTGTTTCTTACTTTGAATGTGTGCATCATGAATTGGTCCTGGTACTCTTTTGTTTGTGATGCTTGTTTTAGCTCCACTGAAGTGAAATTCAAAGACCCACAACACACAGTAACAGCACCCATAGAGTATGTTGATATTTTAATATTTATATTAAATATTTTCTTTATTAGCATTTGCATTATGTAAGATTTCTAGAAAAGCATCACTACATTTGAAATGAGAAGTATTTCAGTTGGAATTGTTCTTTCAACTGGATGTTTGATAAATAAGCTGTAGAAAATGTTACCGTTTATAATGTCGATTATGGTTTCCCTATTTAACGTATCCCTGTATATTCTGCATCCTCTTTAGCATTTTAACATGTTCTTTAACTCTTCCTTTCACCCAAATCTGCTCATTCTCTGCAATGTACTGATGATTTGTTTACACTCAAAAGGCCATCAACATGTCTGCACTCATCCTAAAGTGCAACGCAAAATCACGTGTGCTCATGAGCCCTATTATTTGAATTTTTGAATTCAAATATGACTTAAGCTGTAAGTCATAATCATCAAAATCATAAAGGCTTGAAATATCTGGCTTTGCATGTCTATGTTATAGATTAGTTTCACCTTATATTACCTTAACCAACCTTATTTTATTTAAATTTCACCAAATTGCTGACGTAAATAAACTTTTGCACCACATTCTAACTTCTCGAGTTTCGCCTGTACTTACAGATGTGATCAACACTAAAGCATTCATTAAAGAAAGAGAAAAGACTAAATCTGAACCCACACAACAATCGTTGGTAGTCAGCAGCATCAGCACTGGGATTTGAATTTTCAGGTCCTCGTGGCTCCACCAGCTGTTAGCAAAATAAAAAGTAGGTCATGGCTGTGCACTTTACACTACTGTTGTCTCATCGCAGGATTTATGTTGTGTCTTTAAGTGTCAATTCAGCTCATGCTTTACCTCTGGGTGGCACTCAAGCTGTCACTGGCTACATCTTTAAAGGAACACTGTGGTGGCTTTAGAGACGCATTTCAGCCGCTCATTTTATTAGTCAAGGCAGTTAATTGCAATTTACTGCTGTGTGATCACTACAGATGAGTCTGATGTTTTGTTGTTCATCACATAATCATTAGGAAGCAGTTACATATTTAAAGAAAGGCTCATACAGTCTTAAATCTGAGTGTAATTATTTTCTTTTAAAAGTAAAATTAAAAATAATTGTTGACAAGGCAGAGACAAGGCTGGTTAGTGAGCAGTAAGCAGGGTTATATGTAGATCAGCCCTGCAGCACTATGGGGTGAAATGTCCTTTTCTGTTTCTTCATAAATGCACTTGTTTTATTTATAGATGGGTTAATGGATGGAGGGATGGAGGAGAATCAGAGGGCTTCTACATTCAAACATTCCTTTTGTATTGTGAGGTGTGTTTGATTAGCCTTTGTTTGTTTGTTAGATCCTGTCTCCAGAAAACACCCCAACCTTATTACAGGAAAACTCTGATCAGTGCTAATGAATGTGAAAGGGCAGAGCTTGTTTCTTCTAAATGAATAAGGTTTTTGAAGAAAACAATTAAATTGAATGGATAGTGGACCAAAAAAGAAAGGAAGTCATTCAGTTATATTGTATTTCTGTGTGAATACGCTGTTATAAAGCTACAGAAACACAAATTGCTGCTTAAGAGGTCACACACTTTTATTTTTTAGGGTTTATGCTGGAGGATTTAACTGATGTTTTTTCGTCTGATTTTAATGATTTATCTAAAGTCTGACAGCTAAGCCTGACAGTATTAATATATATATTTTTAATGAAGTCATACGAATGCTCCCTAAGGGACTCTGAACATTTAAAAAGTTCAAAAAATAAACAAAGAACTTTGAATTTGATAATTAAACATCGTGCACATGCGTGTGTGTGTGTGTGTGTGTGTGTGTGTGTGTGTGTGTGTGTGTGTGTGTGTGTGTGGCTACAAACCACCATCATAAATCTGGGTGCAGATAAAAACCCAGGCTGAATTAATACTAAAGGCAATTAATGATACAATGAACAACAGCTGAGTCGCAATTAGCTGAGGTGAACTAGGTGTGAAACATCAAAGGAACTACCAAAATAAAACAGGAAGTCAGTTAAAGCAGAACAAGAAAATAGGTCACAGATTAAAACCAGATGGAAGCAAACGAACCACCGTACAGCAAAAAAGAATTAAACCCAGAAGGAACTCTGGCTATGAGGACATGTATACCCTAATAAGCCACAAGTTTTCTGTTGTACCAAACTGTTGTTAGAAACACACAAAATATTGCTGTTTATTTATAAATCTGTAATATTTAGTACATTTTTGACATACGTACGACGCCATGTTTTCCGCACGCAATGCACTCTGGGGGCGATGATGTATGTTGGTTGCACTTGGAAGAATAGCTATTGAAGCTAGAGTTTGTTTACGAACTCACCGTATTAATAATTAAGTAAAATGCTGCATTGTGCTGCTTTTGGATGTAATTTCCAATTCAAAAGGCAACAAGGGAGTGATGTGATTTTACACAGCTTTCCCACTGGCAAGAAGAGGAGAAAGCAGTGGAGGATGCCTGTGGATGGACACAACTTCCCAAAGATCTGCGGCTGTGTTCCCAACATTTTTCTCCTGATGCGTTTGAGGCTTACAGTCGAACTACTTAAAGAGCTCACCAGAGCGACTGGGTATAAGAGAAGGCGGAAACTAAATGCTTTACTGACCATTTTCCCACACAAGGAGTCTAAACGCCCTCTGAGAGACGAGACGCTGGACGCTCTCCTGAGCCGACAACCCGCTCCTGCAGCTGCCGCTTCTGTCACATTCAGCAAACCATCAGACACGCCACTCGTCATGGATGAAGCTGAACATTCACCTTTCCTGTCAGTAAAACAAGCAGTAAGTGTAGCAATACAGTTTTCTCCAACTATATAATATCTGCAAAAATGATTAAAGTAGTTTCACTGAATATCCTAATCATCTATAAAGCACACGACTGCTCTAGATGCTAATATTCTCCTAAATAATTCATAAATGAATAAGTTTGATCACACGATAGCTTACCGTTAACTTCTGCTGACAAATGTGAGCACTCTCCCTCACAGTTACCATGAAGACACATTTGCCGCACACGCACCACTGGTTTTGTCCTACTCTCGCTTCATTCCGCCCTTCTTGCTCTTCATTTTGATGCTCGGTTTGTGAAACATCGTCAGTGATGTCCTCATAATGTTTCACTCTGGTTCAAGTTGAAAAGGCTGAACAGATGACATGTTGACATCGCTGAACAGTCACTAAAGCACATATGTCAGAGTCAAGGCCCGCGGGCCACATCTGGCCCGCGGAGCATTTTTATGTGGCCCGCGAGATAAATATCAAAAATATATTAAAACTGGCCCGCTGGCCGATTTTACCGCAAATACTTCAACTCCCATGATGCTTTGCGGCGTCAGCGCGGAGCCGACGAAGCCCCCTCCTTTGTGTTTTTCCAGCGCCTGCTGCCGGTGTCTGCAGCTCCTCTGTCTCGGACAAACTACACTCCTCTCACCCAGCGCCGAGTTCACTCAGCTATTTTCTGACGTTGAAGCCCAGAAACGGAGATTCTAGCCGCTCAGTAATGTGTTCACGACTGAAAGAGAAAGTTTTCCAACTAACGTCCAGACAGAGCCGATATAACTCCAGCGAGCAGCGACACGCTCAAACCAGCACGACTCTGTGGTTGTGTTTCCTCCCCGACACACAACAACGTGGTCAAGCTGCTCATGTTCATCAGCACAAACCTATGTGAGCACCTGTTGTCATCTAATGTTGTCATTATTATGATGAAGATGAACAAAACAACAGGAGTCTCCTCCTCAGCTCAGATCAACATGATGCAGGTATCTGGCTGGAACAGGTGAGCATCACAGTAAACCAGTGGAGCAAACTGAGCTTTAAATATGTTGGTTTTCTGCTCTTTTTCTGCTCCAAAACATGAAAGTTAACAGGTGAGATGTTGCATTTTCATTTAAGATAAAATTATATTTTTATTTTGTTGTTGGCCCGTGAGAAAAGATTTAACCTACAGTAAACAGGAAGTGGAAAGGCTGCAGATAGATGAATAGAATAGAAAATCCCTTTATTGTTCCTCAGTGGGGAAAGCTAGACGTCACAGCAGCGATGACACTTATTACAGGAGGAAAAAAGGAGAATAAAAATAAGAAAAATGATAAAACAAGAAAACATAAATCCTGAATATATTTTAAAAATGCTGAATATACCACAAGTAATGAATACCACTGATGCCTTTTATTTAAAACTGACTTGCTTGTGTGTAAGTTGGTTATTCCACATTCAGTGTTAATGCAGAAATAAGTTTGTTTCTAAATTTAAAGGTTCAAAATTGCATATATATTGATAAAGAAAATGTGCAAATTTGCTGTCACTTTTTCAAAAATATTAAGTTTGGCCCTCGACTCCGTCCCAGAGTTTCATTTCGGCCCCTTGTGAGTTTGAGTTTGACACCCCTGCACTAAAGGATCCCAAAGCTGGCCAGTGCAACCGAGGTACAACCAAATCACGTCACTACCCAGAGTGCAGTGCGGCGCTAACAACAATAGCGACATACGAGTTAAACTATTTTTACAAATTTTATAAAAATGAAGACATTAAGAAGGTTTTTTTACACCACTTTAATAAAACTGATACTAACATTTATATTTTAAGAACCACAAGGTTTTGTAACCTGGGTTCCTTTTAAGAACCATGGAAAATAGACATCGGTGGATATTTTTCACCACTTTTATTTTAGTTTGCCATCAAGCTTTTGCATTTTCAAAAAAACCAAAAACCACTTTTCCACTTTTCCAAAAGTCCTTTTTTCTCTGCAGCTGCATCTCACGCCATCAAATAACTGACTCAATAAAACTCCAAACAGACTTTTAATGAGTCACTAGACATCTCAGCTTCCTTATGGACAAAGGACTTTTCCAATAATACATCTCACTCTCTGCTTGGTTGTCATGCATCTGCTGCGATCACAGGAAACACTTGACAAGTAGTAGGCGTAGAGTCACGGCAGCCTACAACTACTTTATGGTCCGTGGATGAGCCTCTTTGATCTTTGTCCTGCTGTATCCTGGTGACCGAGTATTTTCGATACATGTGATTAGCAATCACAGCTGGCTTTGGCATGCTTGTCACTACTGATCACTTGCAATTGGCGGATGCAGAGGCAGGGGCGGGTGAAAAGACAGAGGGAGGTTCATGAAGCAGCAGAGGAGAGGAGAGAAGAGGAGAGGATCATTACATGTTAGCTGCTTTGATTTCCGACTTTGAAGTGCTGCCTAATGAGGAGGGTTTAAGACGGCACACGTCTACGGGAATCTGTTGAGCAGCTCAAAAACCAACAATGCAGAGGAGGAACTCAGCTAGTATCATGGGACGGCATCAGGACAATGCACACCTTCTGAAACAGGTTCAGGTATGGGTCTGGTGTGAACCCGGGTGCTTGTAGGAGTGTGTGTGAACAGAGAGTTTGAAAGCCATTTCTTCAGCGATGATAAGATGTTTTAAATAGGACAACTTGAATCCATGTCTAAAATAAGCTTGTAGTTTTTAGGTCAATTATTTCTGTGAGAGACTGGTGACGACACTTTGAGGAGGGGGCAGTGTCACCAATCCTCTCAGGTGGTTCTACTCTTGTGTGGAGATGTTTGTTAACTGGGTCTGAGTGTGTAATTTGACTCTGAAGCAATATTTCTTTATTATTAGGGATGGAAAATATGTTGGCATCAATATCGGTATCGGCCAATGTTGGTCATTTTTAAACATATCGGTATCGGTTCGATAAATAAAACTGGGCTGATATTAACAGCTGATATTTTTTCCTTCTTGTCTCCATTTGTTTGCCTGTTTCAGAGGGTGAGGGGTGATGTGTAATTGTTTAGTCAATTAAACAGTGAATGTAATAATCTCAGAACTGTAAATGTGTGTGGTGTGTGTACATAATAATGTAAATTCAGCTTTAATAATTTTCCTTCTATACAAAATCTGCTGATTTTAGAAGCATTAATGTCAGTATATCAGTATCAGCAAATATCGGTCATCAGCCATAACAGTGATCTTAATATCGGTATCGGCCCAAAAATTCAATATCAGTGTATCACTATTTATTATTTGACTCACATATGTATTGTCAGTTTCTCTCTCTCTCTCTCTCTCTCTCTCTCTCTCTCTCTCTCTCTCTCTCTCTCTCTCTCTCTCTCTCTCTCTCACACACACACACACACACACACACACACACACACACACACACACACACACACACACACACACACACACACACACACACACACACAGATTAATATTACTCAACACAACCACAAGTAAAAAGATAGAATGAGGGCAAGACACTGTGCACACCTGTAATTTTTGTTATACTACGGCACACACCTACATGATGTTTGATGACATTATTACACATCTTTTCTTGGCATCAGTTTACATTCCTACAGCCTCCCAGTTGTCTCAGCTGAGCTCATGTAGCAGTTTTTCTTTGCCTCTTCACAGTTGTCTGTCCATGTTTAGCTTTACGATTATTATTTTTTTCATCTTTATTCATCAAAATTCTCCATTGTTACCAAATCAACAAATGTAATTAATAAGTAATAGCAGTTTGCTGTCTGGAGCATTTTGTAGAAAATGTATTGTAGAGAAGCTCAGCTGTTGTCTTTTTCACCTGACTGGCTCTGGTCTGCCTCTTCCTCTACATTTGTGTGTCCATCACTACTTTCCTCTTCATGTCTCCTCCTGCTCTCACCATCTGCCTCCATGACTGTATACATTTCCGAATGTCTCTCAGGATGGGCCAGGGGCTCAGGAGGGAAATTTGTTCAGAGAGGAAGTAAAATATAATAAAAGGCCAATGAAAGGTAAAAAAATAATAATAACAAAACAAGATATTGTATTTGTTACTGTCAAAGGTCAAAATAGGAATTTTATTATTATCACCAGTGTGGAATTATCCTGAAAACAAATGACTGGCTCAGTATTTCATATAAACAACCCTTTGTGGATGTGGTAGGATGGCAGCAACTGTGTAATCCTGTAAGTTTCTTCCATCATCTTTATATTTTGATTTTTAAATATTTAGTCTAACAGCCTTAATACTAAATCTGCAGGTTTGCTGCTTTACTTCTTGATGTTTCTGTGACAGATGATCCAAACCAGCTTCTCTGTCCTGAGGAGCTTGATGCACACAAATCTTGTTTCATGTATCCGTGCACATCAGAGGCCAGGGCTTGATACTGTGTTGTGTTACTGTGTGCTGCTTTTGCTGAGGGATTATGACCCGTCTCTCCTGCAGTGGGCTCTGTATTACCCTGAAAGCCTGGCAGACCCGTCCCAAGAGGTCGTTCTAGTACACCTTTGTCTGTGCCCGCTGTTGATGTACTCATTTACCACCCCTGCTGCATCCTGTGGGTCCTGATGCTGGGAGGGATCAATACCAGCTTCTTCATCTCTTTGCCTTTCTGCTGAAGGTCAGAAAATAAGGCACACACCCTCAGAAGGTTGGGTTTTAAACTTAAAAATCAAACACACAAAAAAATCAAACGTCATGAAATGGACAAATGTTTTATGTTTGCGTCGTCGACTGACGCCATCTTTGACTACAGCTAAAAAAACGACGATACAGTCATCATTTCCGCCTTTTTCTGATTGGTCATTTTTGAGCTGGCTAATCCCACCCTTCTTGGTGCTCTCTGCCTCTGAGTATTCGGACTCGTCCTCTGTGTAAAATAGACACAGGACAAGTCTGGCAGGCTAGGCTAGTGACTCTTTCTCTGTCTCTCTCTCTCTCCCAGTCATCATCATCATCATCAGCAGCAGCAGCAGCAGCTAGATTGATGCTCAGCACTGCTGGAAAACCAGTGAGCATCGTGTACAGAACTTATATGTGCCAGGAACATTCAAGATGAACTCAAAGATTGGTCATTTGTTTGGAGTAAACTTTTTTAATCTGCTTATCCAAAAAGTTTAATGAATCTCTTTCAGCCACTGCTGACTTTGGCCAAAGCTGCAAGTGCAAATTAAAGGTTTTAATAACAAGAGCCTACCATTTTATGATTATTTTGCCATGAATCGTTCTTGGAGCCGACAACATTGAAACGTTCTTTTATAAAGGCTGTGGATGGGGAACACATCGCTCCTTTGAACCTGTTCCATCGTTGTTTGGAGCGTTTCTGTGCCGACGTCCTTCATCCATGTTACAAACTGCACTCCCACCAGACGCCTTCTCGTTGGTCGGTTGATATTTCCTGTTTATTTTTTTACATTTACGTCACTGATATAGTCTACATGTTGTATGTGCAGTAATACGATGGCTTTGAAACGATAAAGAGTAGAAAGTAAGGGTGTTTGTTAAATGTAAACATAAAAAGCAGTCAGAAAAAACACAAGTAAAGTTCAGATACCTGAAAAGCTACTTAAACAGTAACTAAGTAATTGTACTTTTCTACTTCCCACCTCTGGCCACCAGTCTCTCTGATCACCACCAGCAGCCAACATTTTCCTCTCCTACTATATCAGACGACAGGTCTGTTAACAGAAGGTCAAACCTGCTTTCTGTTTCAAACTCATTTAGCAGTTCAGGAAACGAAAGTTTCATCATTTCATCCACTTCTGCTGCGGTTTGAGAATCAACCAGATTTTCTTTGGTGTCATGATTATCTTTTGCAATATTTTTCACACTGTGCAGGATTTCCTCATCTGCCTCAGCCTCTGACGAAAAAACACAATCCTGCACTTCTGTCCGTTTAGGAGGAACATTCACTTCCTCTGGTTCCTCGACTATCAGACACTCAGGCATTGCAGTGACTTACAAATGCTCAACACACCCTAACCATAAGCAATGGGGTTTTATTTCTAACCCAAACTTAAACTAAAGGTTTATCCACACCAAACCTCTAATAATACGTTTCAGGGTGCTTAACATTGTGTGGACCAGAAAAATGTTGACACAATGCAGGTTTAAGTCAAAATTTATCCACTTAAACATATAAAGACAAGCACAGACACAAAAAACACCAACACATGCTCTTCTGGGAAAGCGTAATTAAGGGGCCTGCCCATGAATTTATTTATGCAGCTTGAACATCACTGTGCACCCCTACAAATGTAACATCAAACTGATCAGCTCGGCCGTGGGAAGTGTGGTATAACTTGATATTCAGGTGATCACCCCCAAAATATTCATTTATTTCTTATTCAATTATTTATTTTTGCGGCAGAGTGCACCCCCACAAGTTTTACATGAACACTGCCGTGGGAAGTGTGCTATCATGATTTAGAGGTGATCACTATAACACATTGCCACCACCAAGTGCCAGCTGGCATGCTCCTTTCAAAAGGACTCAAGGAATTGTCTAGTCCTTCGTTATTACGTCCCCGGCTCTCTAGGAGAGATGAGGAGGGGAGTAATAAAATTAGTGTGTGGGTGAAATAGTAATCAGGGTGCTGTGTCGCTTAAAACAAGACTTTTATTACAAAATGAACGGAATGGAATATTTACAAAGAACCTAAAACCAATACTATATACACAAAACAAAGTGAGCTATATTTGAAAGGGAGATAACGAAAAGCGCCACCCCAGAAGGGGGTGGGAAGAAAACCGAGAGCAATAAATATATGTGATACAAAAGGGGAGATCCTAAATCGAGGTCAAAACCGGTCCAAGTCGATAAGCCAAATGGTCAAAATCTTAAATCCAAATCCGTAATCCAAAAACCGAGAGCACCGAAGACTAACTATTCCGATTTTTACCAAAAGAGCAAGCGAGGAGAAGCGACCCTTGGACCTTCTCCCTGAACTGGTGGCTGGAAGCAGCTTTTAACAGCTGCCAAGTGATTTCTGTATTTGACAACAGCTGGGGACCGGGAGACAGGCGAGGCAAAGGCCACTGAGGCCATCTTGTGGCCGAAAAGGGGCACCGCACGTAACATTCGTGCTCTACACACCTTTGCTCGTCAGTCAGGACGTGTCGGAAGAGCCAACATTTTCTGTGGGGAGAAGCAAATTCTGGTGCTGCATTCAAAGTCATCTTCCCACAAACCCTGAATGTGATAAAGCAGATGACCTAAAATTACACGTTCTCACCTCTCAATCTGTTTAAAGTAACACGAGATCAGAAATACAGTGACAAACACTGGAACATGTCCAAAGTCAAGTGGCAGAAGCAGAAGTTGTTGCCAGCCGTTGAGCCTGGTAGCCTCGGCAGATGGGAGAAGGGAGGCTTATGGATGCAGTGATCATGTGAGCTCACTAGCTTCTGGCATGAATGCAGAAAGAGAGCAGACTGGAAAACGAGCCTTGGTTTATCTGTTGTTTCAGAAGCTCGGCGCTGTTTTCTCTTATGCAGCCCTGATGAGTGAATGCATCTTATATAGGGTCTTATATAGGCTCTGTGTTTAGATACTGGAACTC